CTGGCTGGGGTGGGCTGGCTGGCTGGCCTGGTTTGGCTGCCCGGGGCTGGGAAAAATGGGCTGCTGGCTGGGCTGGCTCTGGCTGGCTAGAAATGGCTGGTGTTTTGACTTCCCGGCTTTGGGTGGGGTGGGCTGGCTTGGGGTGGCTGACTGGGGTGGCTGGCCCCGGCTTGCCTGGCGGTTTAAATGGGGGGTTTGGGTGGCTTTTTTTCTGCTGGCTTTTCTGGCTTTTGGGACTTTTGGGGTGGCTGGCCCCTTGGGGTCAACTAAATGGGCTGGGGCTGGGGTGGGGGGCTATCTGGGGGCTGTCAATGGCCCTTTGGGTGGGGTGGGTGGCTGGAAAATAAATGGCTGGCTGGCTGGCTGGCCCGGCTGGCCTTTGGGTTGGGTGGCCCCGGAAAACCCGACTGGCGGGACCTGGGTAAACTGGCGGGTGGCTAAATGGCGGTAACCCCCAACTGGTTCGAAAAACCCACTCTGGTGGTTTTTGGGTGTGGGCAAAACCAGTCGGGGGGGAAAGTAACCTCCCCCCCGGGAAAATTTGGGCATTTTGAAAGGGCGTCAAGAATGACAAACATAAATTTAAACCTGTTTAAAATAATTAATGCCCCTGGAAAATGGGGGGAAGAGATGTAAATGTCCTGTGGGGATTGGTTTTACATAAGAGCTGTCCTGGGCAGCCGTACAGTGTGACAGTGACTATGATGCTCTCTGGCTCTTGACCCCAGCTGACCTTAGTTAGTTAGTTACTCCAGGGAAGAAATCATGTATATACAGTTGAAGTAGGAAGTTTACAAAGACCTTAGCCAAATACATTTAAACTCAGTTTTTCAGAATTCCTGACATTTAATCCAAGTAACAATTCCCTGTTTTAGGTCAGTTAGGATCACCACTTTATTTTAAGAATGTGAAATGTCAGAATAATAGTAGAGAGAATGATTTATTTCAGCTTTTATTTATTTCATCACATTCCCAGTGTGTCAGAAGTTTACATACACTCAATTTGTATTTGGTAGCATTGCCTTTAAATTGTTTAACTTGGGTCAAACATTTCAGGTAGCCTTCCACAAGCTTCCCATAATAAGTTGGGTGAATTTTGGCCCATTCCTCCTGACAGAGCTGGTGTAACTGAGATAGGTTTGTAGGTCTCCTTGCTCGCAAACGCTTTTTCAGTTCTGCCCTCACATTTTCTATAGGATTGAGGTCAGAGCTTTGTGATGGCCACTCCAATACCTTGACTTTGTTGTCCTTAAGCCATTTTGCCACAACTTTGGAAGTATGCTTGGGGTCATTGTCCATTTGGAAGACCCAATTTGCGACCAAGCTTTAACTTCTTGACTGATGTCTTGAGATATTGCTTCAATATATCCACATAATTTTCCTTCCTCATGATGCCATCTATTTTGTGAAGTGCACCAGTCCATCCTTCAGCAAAGCACCCCCACAGCATGATGCTGCCACCCCCGTGCTTCACGGTTGGGATGGTGTTCTTCGGCTTGCAAGCTGGCCCCTTTTTCCTCCAAACATAACGATGGTCATTATGGCCAAACAGTTCTATTTTTGTTTCATCAGACCAGAGGATATTTCTCCAAAAAGTACGATCTTTGTCCCCATGTGCAGTTGCAAACCGTAGTCTGGCTTTTTTATGGCGGTTTTGGAGCAGTAGCTTCTTCCTTGCTGAGCGGCCTTTCAGGTTATGTCGATATAGGACTGGTTTTACTGTGGATGTAGATACTTTTGTACCTGTTTCCTCCAGCATCTTCACAAGGTCCTTTGCTGTTGTTCTGGGATTGATTTGCACTTTTCGCACCAAAGTACGTTCATCTCTAGAAGACAGAATGCGTCTCCTTCCTGAGCGGTATGATGGCTGCGTGGTCCCATGGTGTTTATACTTGCATACTATTGTTTGTATAGATGAACGTGGTACCTTCAGGTATTTGGAAATAGCTCCAAAGGATGAACCAGACTTGTGGAGGTCTACAATTTTTTTTCTGAGGTCTTGGTTGATTTCTTTTGAATTTCCCATGATGTCAAACAAAGAGGCACTGGGTTTGAAGGTAGGCCTTGAAATACATCCACAGGTACACCTCCAATTGACTCAAATGATGTCAATTAGCCTATCAGAAGCTTCTAAAGCCATGACCTCTTTTTCTGGAATTTTCCAAGCTGTTTAAAGGCACAGTCAACTTAGTGTATGTAAACTTCTGACCCACTGGAATTGTGATACAGTGAATTATAAGTGAAATAATCTGTCTGTAAACAATTGTTGGAAAAATTACTTGTGTCATGCACAAAGTAGATGTCCTAACCAACTTGCCAAAACTACAGTTTGTTAACAAGAAATTTGTGGAGTGGTTGAAAAACGAGTTTTAATGACTCCAACCTAAGTGTATGTAAACTTCCGATTTCAACTGTATGTATTTTAATTCCAGCATTCTAATTAATTTCTTCATTTCCATCAGAAAATATGTTATCATTTACACAGTGTCACGTTTCTTTTGTGTTAGTGTGCCTCTCCAAAAAATAAAAAAATAGACTTCTTTAACAGAATAATGATTTTCCTCTTTGACTGCATTTTTAGCAGTTCTGACTTTCGCCACTAGAGGTCGATCAGCCAATTCCTGGGGGTCTGTACTCCCGAAGTTGTAGACTGTTTTTGCGCTTACTAGTTAGCTAGAAGTTCTAAGCTGGTAGCAGCCAATGGCTAGCAGTTTCTTATATCTAATAAAAACTGATGATTACCATCATTTTTTTTTTGAGTCATTACTGAATTATTTAATGTAACATGTCAAACATACAAGCACATCACATCCCTGGGTCGGTCCCTCCTGTTTTCATGTCCGATGCAGCTAGCGACTGGTAACGAGCTTGCCAAAAAAAAAACACTCAAAAATTGACAGTTTATTCTCTCCAATCCTCTTTCATTTCAAAAGACTCAATCATGGACACTCTTACTGAGAGTTTTGGCTGCTTGCAATGATAGATTGTTGTCTCTACCGTTCGTGCCTTTGTGCTATTGTCGACTTGCCCCAATAATGTTGGTACCATGTTTTGTGTCTGCTGCATGTTGCTGCTGCCATTTGTTTTCAGTGAGTTGCTACCTTGCTTGTGTCAGGTGTTGACTGCCATGCTAGGTTGTTGTCTTAGGTCCTCTCTTTATTATGTTGTGGTGTCCTCTCTTTAATGTAGTGTTTTGTGGTGTCTCTCTTTATGTAGTGTTGTGGGCGTCTGCTCTGTATATGTAGTGTTGTGGGGTGTCTCATCTTTAACTATGTTGTGGCGTCTCTCTTTATGTATTTTTGGGGTTTCTCCTTTTGTAGTGTTGTGGTGTCTCCTTTTTGTAGTGTTTTGGTTCTCTCTTTATTTTGTTGTGGGGTCTCTCTTTTTAGTGTTTTGTGTCTTCTTTTTGTAGGTTTGGCCTCCTTTTATGTGTTTTGGGTTTCCTTTATTAGTGTTGTTTGGGTCTCTTTTATTAGTGTTGTGGCTCCTCTTTATTAGGTTTGGGGGTTCTCTTATGTGTGTTTGTGGGGCTCTCTTTATTATGTTGTGGTTCTCTTATGTATGTTGTGGCCTCCTTTTTATTTTTTCTCTTTTTGTATGTTGTTTGGGCTTTTTTATGTAAATGTTTTGGTTCTCTTTATTAGTGTTGTTCTCTTTAGTGGTTGTGGTTTTTTATTTTTGTTTCTCTCTTTTTGTAGTGTTGTGGGTTCTCTTTTGGGTAGTGTTTTGGGGTCTTCTTTATTTTTTTTTTGTCTCCTCTTTAGTAGTGTTGTGGTCTTCTTTTAGTGTTTTTTGGGGGTTCTTTTTATGTAGTGTTGTGGTGTCTCTTTTATGTAGTTTTTTTGTTTTTGGGGTTTTTTTATTATGTTGGGTTTGGGTCTTCTTTTGTGTTTTGGGTTCTTTTTGTAGTGTTGTGGGTCTCCTTTAGTGTGTTGTGGTGTTCTCTTTATGTATGTTGTGGTGGGTTCCCCTTTATGTGTTTTGTGGTGGGGCCCCTTTTAGTAGTGTTGTTGGGGTCTCTTTTAGGGGTTGTTGTGGTGTTCTCTTTTTGGGGGTTGTGGCTTTCCCCTTAGTAGGGTTTTGGGTTCTCTCTTATGTAGTGTTTGGTGTTCCTTTTATGTGTGTTGGTGGGGGGCCTCTTTATGTAGTGTTGTGGTGGGCTCCTTTATGTAGTTTGGGTGTCTCTCTTTATGAGTTTGTGGGGGCCCCCCTTTTTTATTTTGTTTTGGGGTTTTTTATTAGGTTGTGGTTCTCTCTTTTTTAGTTTGTGGGTCTCTCTTTTGTTGTTGGGTGTATCTAGGTAGGTAGGTTGGTTCTGTCGCTCTTTATGTAGGTTGTGGGGGTCTCTCTATGTAGTGTTGTGGTGTCTCTCTTGATGTGTGTTGTGGGTTGTATATCTTTAGTGTAGTGTTGCTGGGTCTCTCTTGATGAGTTTGTGGTGTCTCTCTTGAGGTAGTGTGTGTGGTGTCTCTATTTTATGTAGTGTGTGGTTTGTCTATCTTGATGTAGTATTGTGGTGTCTCTCTTTATGTAGTGTTTGGGTCTTCGGCGTGATGTGTTGTTTTGTCCTATATTTATAGTTTAATCCACACCCGTCCCACCGCCCCCGAAGGAGGCCATTTGCCTTTGGGTAGGCCAGTCATTGTTCAAGAGAATGTGTTCTTAACGGACGTGACCTAGTGAAAATAAAGGTTAAATAAAATTAAAAATTAAAAAACAATTAAAACCGGTGGAAATAATTAATGGTAACCTCGTAAACAATTCATTTAGACCTGACGTTTATTTTTAACCATGCGTTTATGTGCCGAGCAATTAAAAGAGTCAGTCAGCTATTTTACTCTGCGTTTAATTGAAGTTGGTATTTAAGAGTAGAGTCTACAGTATCAAAAGCCTTAGTCAATAAACAGACAGACAGAATGTTGTTTAGCATATGTGCATAACAGCTTCTACTGTACATGTTGTCTGTCTATAGGGCTGACTGTGAGAACCCACAGGTGACCATGTGCAATAAGGGAGAGCAACACTACCGCAGTTCCCCTAGCAACCAGTCGTCGTCTAGTGACCCGGGACCCTGTGGAAGTGGAACCTGGTCTCAACACGACGGGTAAGACCTGGCCGGGGGGAGGGGGGAGGAGAGGGGAGGGAGAGGGGGAGGAGAGGTGTTGGAGAGGGTGAGCAGAGGAGTTGAGAGGGAGGGGAGGGGTGAGAGAGGGAGAGGGGGAGGGTAGGGAAGGCCCAGCTGGTCAGGGAGAGGGAGAGGCATCCTAATCTGTCCCCAGTGGGTTAGGGTTAGGGACAGGGAGAGGCATCCTAATCTGTCTCCAGTGGGTTAGGGTTAGGGACAGGGAGAGGCATCCTAATCTGTCTCCAGTGGGTTAGGGTTAGGGACAGGGAGAGGCATCCTAATCTGTCCCCAGTGGGTTAGGAACAGGAAGAGGCATCCTAATCTGTCTCCAGTATGTTAGGGTTAGGGACAGGGAGAGGCATCCTAATCTGTCTCCAGTATGTTAGGGTTAGGGACAGGGAGAGGCATCCTAATCTGTCCCCAGTGGGTTAGGGAGAGGGACAGGGAGAGGCATCCTAATCTGTCTCCAGTATGTTAGGGTTAGGGACAGGGAGAGGCATCCTAATCTGTCTCCAGTATGTTAGGGTTAGGGACAGGGAGAGGCATCCTAATCTGTCTCCAGTGGGTTAGGGTTAGGGAGAGGGAGAGGCATCCTGATCTGTCTCCAGTGGGTTAGGGTTAGGGACAGGGAGAGGCATCCTAATCTGTCTCCAGTGGGTTAGGGTTAGGGACAGGGAGATCCATACTAATCTGTCTACAGTGGGTTAGGGACAGGGAGATCCATTCTAATCTGTCTCCGGTGGGTTAGGTTTAGGGACATAGAGATTCATACTAATCTGTCTCCAGTGGGTTAGAGATAGGGAGAGGATTCCGACTCTGTCTACAGTAGATTAGGGTTAGGGACAGGGATATCCATAATAATATTTATCCAGTAAATTAGATTTAGGGACAGGGAGAGGAATCCTAATCTGTCTCCAGTATGTTAGGGTTAGGGACAGGGAGAGGCATCCTAATCTGTCTCCAGTGGGTTAGGGTTAGGGAGAGGGAGAGGCATCCTAATCTGTCTCCAGTGGGTTAGGGTTAGGGACAGGGAGAGGCATCCTAATCTGTCTCCAGTGGGTTAGGGTTAGGGACAGGGAGATCCATACTATTCTGTCTCCAGTGGGTTAGGGACAGGGAGATCCATACTAATCTGTCTCCAGTGGGTTAGGGTTAGGGACAGGGAGATCCATACTAATCTGTCTCCAGTGGGTTAGCGACAGGGACAGGGAGATGAATCCTAATCTGTATCCAGTGGGTTAGGGTTAGGGACGGGGAGAGGAATCATAATCTGTCCATAGTGGGTTAGGGAAAGGGAGAGCCATACTAATCTGTCTTCAGTGGGTTAGGAACAGGAAGAGGCATCCTAATCTGTCTCCAGTGGGTTAAGGTTAGGGAAAGGGAGAGGCATCCTAATCTGTCTCCAGTATATTAGGGTTAGGGACAGGGAGAGGCATCCTAATCTGTCTCCAGTATATTAGGGTTAGGGACAGGGAGAGGCATCCTAATCTGTCTCCAGTGGGTTAGGGTTAGGGAGAGGGAGAGGGAGAGGCATCCTAATCTGTCTCCAGTAAATTAGATTTAGGGACAGGGAGAGGCATCCTAATCTGTCTCCAGTATGTTAGGGTTAGGGACAGGGAGAGGCATCCTAATCTGTCTCCAGTATATTAGGGTTAGGGACAGGGAGAGGCATCCTAATCTGTCTCCAGTAGGTTAGGGTTAGTGTTAGGGAGAGGCATCCTAATCTGTCTCCAGTGGGTTAAGGTTAGGGACAGGGAGAGGCATCCTAATCTGTCTCCAGTATGTTAGGGTTAGGGACAGGGAGAGGAATCCTAATCTGTCTCCAGTGGGTTTGGGATAGGGACAGGGAGAGGCATCCTAATCTGTCTCCAGTATGTTAGGGTTAGGGACAGGGAGAGGCATCCTAATTTGTCTCCAGTATGTTAGATTTAGGGACAGGGAGAGGCATCCTAATCTGTCCCCAGTATGTTAGATTTAGGGACAGGGAGAGGCATCCTAATCTGTCCCCAGTATGTTAGGGTTAGGGACAGGGAGAGGCATCCTAATCTGTCTCCAGTATGTTAGGGTTAGGGACAGGGAGAGGCATCCTAATCTGTCTCCAGTATGTTAGGGTTAGGGAGAGGGAGAGGCATCCTAATCTGTCTCCAGTGGGTTAGGGTTAGGGAGAGGGAGAGGAATCCTAATCTGTCTCCAGTGGGTTAAGGTTAGGGAAAGGGAGATCCATACTAATCTGTCTCCAGTGTGTTTGGGACAAGGAGAGGCATCCTAATCTGTCCCCAGTGGGTTAAGGTTAGGGACAGGGAGAGGAATCCTAATCTGTCTCCAGTTGGTTAATGAAAGGGAGAGGGAGAGGCATCCTAATCTGTCTCCAGTGGGTTAGGGTTAGGGACAGGGAGAGGCATCCTAATCTGTCCCCAGTATGTTAGGGTTAGGGACAGGGAGAGGCATCCTAATCTGTCTCCAGTGGGTTAGGGTTAGGGAGAGGGAGAGGCATCCTGATCTGTCTCCAGTGGGTTAGGGTTAGGGACAGGGAGAGGCATCCTAATCTGTCCCCAGTGGGTTAAGGTTAGGGACAGGGAGAGGAATCCTAATCTGTCTCCAGTTGGTTAATGAAAGGGAGAGGGAGAGGCATCCTAATCTGTCTCCAGTGGGTTAGGGACAGGGAGAGGATTCCTAATCTGTCTCCAGTGGGTTAGGTTGAGGGACAGGGAGAGGAATCATAATCTGTCCCCAGTGGGTTAGGGACAGGAATCATAATCTGTCTCCAGTGGGTTAGGAACAGGAAAAGGATTCATAATCTGTCTCCAGACTACTACAGTACATACTATCATTACCCTAACCCTAACAGCTAGCTGTATGCTAGCCCAACCTTACCTTACTGCTGACAGTATGCTAGCAGCTAGCTGTATGCTAGCCCAACCTTACCTTACTGCTGACAGTATGCTAGCAGCTAGCTGTGTGCTAGCCCAACCTTACCTTACTGCTGACAGTATGCTAGCAGCTAGCTGTGTGCTAGCCCAACCTTACCTTACTGCTGACAGTATGCTAGCAGCTAGCTCTGTGCTAGCCCAACCTTACCTTACTGCTGACAGTATGCTAGCAGCTAGCTGTGTGCTAGCCCAACCTTACCTTACTGCTGACAGTATGCTAGCAGCTAGCTGTGTGCTAGCCCAACCTTACCTTACTGCTGACGGTATGCTAGCAGCTAGCTGTATGCTAGCCCAACCTTACCTAACTGCTGACAGTATGCTAGCAGCTAGATGTGTGCTAGCCTTACCTAACTGCTGACAGTATGCTAGCAGCTAGCTCTATGCTAGCCTATCCTTACCTTACTGCTGACAGTATGCTAGCAGCTAGCTGTAGGCTAGCCCAACCTTACCTTACTGCTGACAGTATGCTAGCAGCTAGCTCTGTGCTAGCCCAACCTTACCTTACTGCTGACAGTATGCTAGCAGCTAGCTGTGTGCTAGCCCAACCTTACCTTACTGCTGACAGTATGCTAGCAGCTAGCTGTGTGCTAGCCCAACCTTACCTTACTGCTGACAGTATGCTAGCAGCTAGCTGTATGCTAGCCCAACCTTACCTTACTGCTGACAGTATGCTAGCAGCTAGCTGTATGCTAGCCCAACCTTACCTTACTGCTGACAGTATGCTAGCAGCTAGCTGTGTGCTAGCCCAACCTTACCTTACTGCTGACAGTATGCTAGCAGCTAGCTGTGTGCTAGCCCAACCTTACCTTACTGCTGACAGTATGCTAGCAGCTAGCTGTGTGCTAGCCCAACCTTACCTTACTGCTGACGGTATGCTAGCAGCTAGCTGTATGCTAGCCCAACCTTACCTAACTGCTGACAGTATGCTAGCAGCTAGATGTGTGCTAGCCTTACCTAACTGCTGACAGTATGCTAGCAGCTAGCTCTATGCTAGCCTATCCTTACCTTACTGCTGACAGTATGCTAGCAGCTAGCTGTGTGCTAGCCCAACCTTACCTTACTGCTGACAGTATGCTAGCAGCTAGCTGTATGCTAGCCCAACCTTACCTTACTGCTGACAGTATGCTAGCAGCTAGCTGTGTGCTAGCCCAACCTTACCTTACTACTGACGGTATGCTAGCAGCTAGCTGTATGCTAGCCCTTCCTTACCTTACTGCTGACAGTATGCTAGCAGCTAGCTCCCTCTATTGCCCAATATTTACCTCTCCCACTATGCTAGCTCAGACTATAGCCCTCCCTGACAGTATGTCAGTTAGCTCACTCTGTAGCATAATTGACCAACCCATCCTCACCTCTCCTCCATCCCTCTCCAGGTGTCCATCCTCAGTCCTCCATGAGTGCTCCAGAGAGCTACAGGGGGGAGACAGAGAGGGTTACAGAGACACCCTCAGAGAGCCCACCCTGGAGAGAACACTGTCGACAGGTGAGTCCCTGTGTTCCCTGTTTTACTCCTACACATTAGATGACCTCCAGTGTGTCTGTCTCCTACCTCCATATTAGATAACAACGGTGTCTGGTTCTGTGGTAACCCTATAGGACACATTCAGGGTTAATGCAGCCATACCTCTAACCCCTCCTCCTCTCGTCCTCTTCTCTCCTCTTCTTCGCCCTCTCTCTCTCCAGAGGCCAAGTGGCACATCCCCTCCACCAAGATCCTCAACTCTCGGAAACAGAGGGAGGGGGGCAAGGAGTCGCCCAACAAGCTGAACCGTGGGGTAAGTGACTGAGTGTGGGCTGTGGCTAGGGAGGTTCTACGGCCAGGGGGGTGTCACATCTCTGGGTGTCTGGTTGGTAGACAGGAGGGTGTCTGGTTGGTAGACAAGAGGGTGTCTGGTTGGTAGACAGGAGGTGTGTCTGGTTGGTAGACAGGAGGGTGGCTGGTTGGTAGACAGGAGGGTGTCTGGTTGGTAGACAGGAGGGTGGTCTGGTTGGTAGACAGGGAGGGTGTCTGGTTGGTAGACAGGAGGGTGTCTGGTTGGTAGACAGGAGGGGTGCCTGGTTGGTAGACAGGAGGGTGTCTGGTTGGTAGACAGGAGGGTGTCTGGTTGGTAGACAGGAGGGTGTCTGGTTGGTAGACAGGAGGGTGTCTGGTTGGTAGACAGGAGGGTGTCTGGTTGGTAGACAGGAGGGTGTCTGGTTGGTAGAGAGGAGGGTGTCTGGTTGGTAGACAGGAGGGTGTCTGGTTGGTAGACAGGAGGGTGCCTGGTTGGTAGACAGGAGGGTGTCTGGTTGGTAGAGAGGAGGGTGTCTGGTTGGTAGACAGGAGGGTGTCTGGTTGGTAGACAGGAGGGTGTCTGGTTGGTAGACAGGAGGGTGTCTGGTTGGTTCAGGTCATAGACATGTAACATGGAGGTTTTGAGATCTGAATGTTTAGGATAAAGGATTTAGACTTGGGAGTGAGGTTGCTTTATGCCAGGGGGATGGGTCTCTCTCTCTCTCTCTCTCTCTCTCTCTCTCTCTCTCTCTCTCTCTCTCTCTCTCTCTCTCTCTAGTTCTAACTAGCTCTATCCCTATCCTCTGTACAGGGAGAAAAGATGTCCCGTCAATCCAGCAGTAACACCCTCTCCTCCAACGCCTCCTCCAATAACAGTGATGATAAACACTTTGGCTCTGGAGATCTGATGGATCCTGAGATCCTGGGGTTGACGTACATTAAAGGAGCCTCAACAGACAGCGGGATCGACACCAACCCCTGTATGGGTCCTGGGGGGAGGTTACTGCTGCAGGGGGGTTGTGGGGGTGAGGGGGGACACCCCAAGGATGGCGGCGAAGGAGAGGATCATGGGAAACTGTACCTGCCGCAGGGATATGCGTCAGCGATCATGACTGGTCACGTGACAGAGGGAAGCATCGGGGACCTGAGTGAGATCTCGTCACATTCACACTCCTCCCACTCCAGGTACAGTCCTCCTCTCCTCTCCTCTCCTCTCCTCTCCTCTCCTCTCCTCTCCTCTCCTCTCCTCTCCTCTCCTCTCCTCTCCTCTCCTCTACTCTCCTCTCCTCTCCTCTCCTCTAGCTCTCCTCTCCTCTCCTCCCTCCTCTCCTCTCCTCTCCTCTCCTCTCCTCTCCTCTCCTCTCCTCTCCTCTCCTCTCCTCTCCTCTCCTCTCCTCTACACACACATCAGTCTGTTTTCATTATCTCCCAGATCATCAACACATTGACATGCTCTCAGGACCACAAACACACGGTTGGTTGTTGGCTGTTGGGTCCAGCTATACATCCTTATGTATATTGGAGGGGTGGAGGGGTCAGGAGCTGGGACAGGGGCTGGGTCAGGGACTGGGTCAGGGGCTGGGTCAGGGGCTGGGTCAGGGACTGGGTCAGGGGCTGGGTCAGGGTCAGGGGCTGGGTCAGGGACTGGGTCAGGGGCTGGGTCAGGGGCTGGGTCAGGGGCTGGGTCAGGGACTGGGGTCAGGGGCTGGGTCAGGGTCATGGGCTGGGTCAGGGTCAGGGGCTGGATCAGGGGCTGGGTCAGGGTCAGGGGCTGGGTCAGGGGCTGGGTCAGGGACTGGGTCAGGGGCTGGGTCAGGGGCTGGGTCAGGGTCAGGGGCTGGGTCAGGGGCTAGGTCAGGGGCTGGGTCAGGGTCAGGTTTCTAATTCAAACCTGTGGAGATATACAGTATACCCATTCAGCTGTCTGTTAACCTACAGAGATGTGTCCCCATTCAGTTGTCTGTTAACCTACAGAGATGTGTCCCCATTCAGTTGTCTGTTAACCTACAGAGATGTGTCCCCATTCAGTTGTCTGTTAACCTACAGAGATGTGTCCCCATTCAGCTGTCTGTTAACCTACAGAGATGTGTCCCCATTCAGCTGTCTGTTAACCTACAGAGATGTGTCCCCATTCAGCTGTCTGTTAACCTACAGAGATGTGTCCCCATTCAGCTGTCTGTTAACCTACAGAGATGTGTCCCCATTCAGCTGTCTGTTAACCTACAGAGATGTGTCCCCATTCAGCTGTCTGTAACCTACAGAGATGTGTCCCCCATTCAGCTGTCTGTTAACCTACAGAGATGTGTCCCCATTCAGCTGTCTGTTAACCTACAGAGATGTGTCCCCATTCAGCTGTCTGTTAACCTCCAGAGATGTGTCCCCATTCAGCTGTCTGTTAACCTACAGAGATGTGTCCTCATTCAGCTGTCTGTTAACCTACAGAGATGTGTCCCCATTCAGCTGTCTGTTAACCTACAGAGATGTGTCCCCATTCAGCTGTCTGTTAACCTACAGAGATGTGTCCCCATTCAGCTGTCTGTTAACCTACAGAGATGTGTCCCCATTCAGCTGTCTGTTAACCTACAGAGATGTGTCCCCCATTCAGCTGTCTGTTAACCTCCAGAGATGTGTCCCCATTCAGCTGTCTGTTAACCTACAGAGATGTGTCCCC